ACCAAAATGGCATGACTACCAACGCTGTAAAACTTATAGAAAAGTTTTTGCAACTGTTGTCACTTTCCCTACAAAATTTCCTAAATATCTACAGATAGGCCTATAGCCTACACCTGTGATCTAATAACTATATTTTTGTGTTATTTGGAAGAAAATATTAATTTTCCACCTCCCTTGCAGAAGTAAACTCTATTTCTCCCATTGTTGTTTAAGGCTATTAATTTATTCAAAATTGAATAAAATAGGGCTTGTCCTATGGCTAAGCCCCTAGGTATCGTGTTAATCTCCTAAACTAACCTCATTTGCCAGTATGTACAAACTTGAAAAGGTGATCTAATGTATTTTAAGGCCGTTTGTATGCAGCCTATGGCTGCGCTAATTAAAGTTGGCATGTGCGGTGTTCGTGTTAATGAAGTCCATCTATTTACTGGAAATTGGCTCAGTCTCAGTCTGGACGGTTGTAATAATATAAACAATGCAGAGAACTAAAACCTTTGATATTGAGTGTTATTGTACACTCCTCTAAGCATATTGCAGTTCTTACTGCAATCAGTCAACAGTAAATAGTTTACGTTTTGTTTTCTCTTAAAAGACGTAGGCGTTAAACAAATCAAATGGGAGAAAGCATATGTCAGTTTGCAGATTCCATACATATTTACATGTTCTGGTTGTTTGTCTCAGGTTATTGAACTGCCGCTTCTGAACCCGGAGTTGTTCCAGAGAGTCGGTATCACTCCTCCCAAGGGTTGTCTGCTGTACGGACCTCCGGGCACAGGCAAGACTCTACTGGCCAGAGCCGTGGCCAGCCAGCTGGATGCAAACTTTTTGAAGGTAGCGCCAGAAAAATATTCAGCTAAAGCTGTCATTTATGTTTGGATTGTTTTTAGCATTTTTGTGAGGATAGCAGACTTATCTGAATGGGAAAGAGGAACCAAATTATTTTTTAATACGCCTATGAGTATTTGATTGTATGTGTACTTATCATACAAAACCGTTTCCCTTAATAAACAATATTAACTTTCTGAGAATGTCATCTTCTTCAGCTACCGTAATGCTCTAATACTCTTTAGGAAAGTGCTTTTAATAAAACCAAACTGTCATAAAAAGAATAATATGCTGTTAAACTTGTTTGTTTCCTACGTTGTATTCAGTTCATGTGGTTTTGTGAGCAAAGGAATATCATGAATACTGCTCGCCTTGTATTCAATGAATACAGTACAGGACTTTGAAGCTTACAGAGAAAGACCTCTGCCACCCTTAGTGTACCTGTTTGTCAACTATATTCATAGTCAACTTTGTTGCTCAGGTTGTATCGAGTGCCATTGTTGACAAGTACATTGGAGAGAGCGCTCGATTGATCAGAGAAATGTTCAACTACGCTCGTGATCACCAGCCTTGCATTATATTCATGGATGAAATTGACGCCATTGGTAAGACATGAACTAAGTTTACCAAAAGAAACATCTCCAACGAATATTGTTCAACAAAGTAAAATAACTCAAATCTAATCCAACCCTGTTCCTAAAAGTATTTCTTATATGCAAAATACATGTAGTATTAAATAAAATCAAAATCATATTTTCTTCTTGATTAATTATTTTAATTCGAATGTGTCAATAACTTAACTCATCATTTGAGTTTTGAATTTTAATCTCAAAATTTCAAATGAAGTAACTGACACCCTGCAAAAATAAGCTATAATATGAGCTACATGGGTTGGTGGAGACTAGGGATACCAGATCAGAAATGTTGTGGGTTGGTGTGTTGCCGTATGATATTATCACGTTCATTCTTGTACTGTTAGTCCACTGTTTGCTCGATACATCCCATTCACAAGCCAGAGGCTCATGTGGATGAGGATATCCTGTTTATGTTTTGTTTATCTTGTTATATCCTGTTTATGTTTGTGTGTTTAGGTGGACGAAGGTTCTCCGAAGGAACGTCTGCTGACCGAGAGATACAGAGGACGCTGATGGAGCTTCTCAACCAAATGGATGGTTTTGATTCACTTGGCCAGGTAGATTTGCTGTCCATCAGGCTTTTTAAAGAATAATGTTGTTTACTAAATGTTAGGAATGGCTTTAATCTTAACGTTGTGCCAGTATTAGTTGTATTGATGTATAAGACTTACCCAACAAACCTATAGTTTTTGTTTTTAATCAGTTTTAAAAATTTAGATTGCATTTTCTGCACATTGACGGCAACACTTTTTGGCACAGAAAAAACATTTTGAAATGTTAAAAGTCTATTGATAAATTTGTAATAAAAATAAGGTAGATTTAACGTATTCAAAGAATGAAACAACTTGTGTTGATTTAAATTTATAATTACCGTATTCTAATTATTGTAGCGTACAGTAGCTCTTAGCCAGATGAACTCTGTATAGTTTCAAATGAAAGGGAAACTAATTAGAGGCATCAATCCACTTAATACAGGCACAGAAATTTCCAAATACTTGAACACTACTTTTAGAGAAAATGTAAAGTACATGTAAAAATAGAACCGGAAAACTAGGGAAAGCTCCAGGCTGTATATATTATATTTAGCATTACTATTTTAAGCCTACCTTTAACAATTTAATTGAATCCTGAAGGTATAATGATGCCTATTAAAGAAAATGTTATTTTGCAGGTTAAAATGATCATGGCTACCAACCGTCCGGACACTCTGGACCCTGCCCTCCTGAGACCTGGACGTTTGGACCGTAAAATTGAAATACCTCTGCCTAATGAACAAGCTCGCCTAGAAATTCTCAAAATCCATGCTGGACCAATTGCTAAGCATGGAGATATCGGTATGTGGCCCTACCCTACACCTCTCATTAATTTCTTGTTTCTAGTTAGCCTTCGTAAGACAGAATTATTAATAGTATATTATCCATAAACAGCCTAGGTTTGGCAGTGTGTGTAAATGCATTTTATTGATTAAACTAATTGCTCTATGGTTTGGTAATATTTGTTCAGACCTACAGTAAGTAAAGGAAATATATATTTTTAATGTATTAAATTGAAGATTGAGAAACTAGACTAAACTTTGGGACTTGTAAAATGTTCAGTCGTGATGGATCCCAGAAAGGTTCGCTAAAAGCTGAACTAATATTTAAATTATTTGTTTGTAGATTATGAAGCTGTTGTCAAGTTATCTGACAGTTTCAATGGAGCTGACCTTCGTAATGTTTGTACGGAAGCTGGATTGTTTGCTATCCGAGCCGAAAGAGAATACGTGATCCAAGAAGACTTCATGAAAGCTGTTCGTAAAGTCGCTGATAACAAGAAACTTGAGTCTAAGCTTGACTATAAGCCTGTCTAAGAGTGTTGTGTTGTAAAATAATTTATTCAATAAAATTTTGGTTTTTCTATCTATATTTTAAGTTAGAGCTTTTTTCTAGCCCGATTCCAGTAGGCTACTGAAAGTTAAAATCTAGTAGTAACATTGGAATAGTTTTGATAGCTCAAATGAAAATGATCAAGAAACATGAAATAAAGATCAAGTTAAAAAAATTAACCCCAAGGTTCATGTTTTGAACTAATTTGGTTGGTTCTGTTTTATATTTATTACCACTGTCTAGTAACAATGCGTAATGTGTACAGGTATTATTTGAGTGAATAATGAAGAGGAGCTAACAATTAATAGACATATAACAATTACGGTATCCTTATTGTTTATTGCTAACAATGAGTTTGTTTGGGGTGGAGTTGATGCAACTATTGAAAAAAAGGTATAAAAACCCATTAGATTTTTACTAACTACAGTAGAACCCCGCTAATCCGATATTGGCTAGTCCAACTCTTCGCTTAATCCGACCATGCCATCGCTTATCAGTGGCAATGTTATCGTGGTAGGCTAATATTGTGACTGTTTGCATTGGTTGTATGGGGATCTTCACCGTCTACCACAATGGCGGCAGAAATTCTTGTTTATACCTTGCAATCTCGGATACATCAAGTTTTCATCGATCATGGAATCATTTATCGTCATCTTCCATGATTGTGGCAATATATTGATTGTCTCACACGGTTAAGGGAACATTGTCATTGTCTTCTGGCATAAACAAATTTTACGGTCACGGAACAAATTATCATCATCTTAGGCAATCGAGGCAAAATCCTGAACACCCCTCGTAGTCGGGTAGGCACCGTCTTCCATGATTGCAGCAAAATAGTAAACATCCCCCAAACTCGGGGGGGGGGGGGGGGGACAATATCAGATGGTCCCCCGCAATCACGAAAACTATCGTTGTTGGCTGCAATACTGCAAACTCCTGAAAATCTCCTGCAGTAAAGGAAACATTATTGTTGTCTCTTGCGATCAACATTGAACCTCTCCTGCGATCACGGAAACATTATCAAGTTCTGAAATTGTGATAAAATATTAAATGTTTCTTGTTGTCACTGGAACATTTAGCCTACATTGTTTTCTAAGATAGTGAACTTTCAATTACCAGTTGAGCAATTAATTCGGTAGACCCCCTAGCCTAATTTAATATGCTCCTCTAAGGTACCTATCAATATTCTGACTATGTTCTCTTAGGTGATGGATTAGCGGGGTTGTACTGTAATGATATTTATGGTAATATATATGCAGACCCAATGTTAATTTAGAGGCTATTTCAGACGTAAATTACTCTTATAAAGAAATAGGTAAAATAGGCAATTTTTTGACAGGCTGACTGTTTTCATCAGCTCACCCATTCTTTTCAATATCTACATTCCTTATCAAAACTGCTGAGAGTCAAGGCGTATGAGCCTTGGCTGAGTCTTCTACTGCTAAAGACAGAGCAATAAGTGACGTATAATCTACTGACCCCTGTTTGCCAGATTCTTGTAATTGAAGGCTAAGTAACTCAATACTGGAAAGTGGAAGAGTGGATGAAGTTCTCAATCAGGTAAAGTAAGCTTTCTGTAAGTAATTTAGTAATTTTGGTCACTAAACTGTTTCCAGTGAAAATTAGGCCTATTTGTTGAGAAACTTGGGATACTTAAATAAATAAAACTAAGCGATTAGAATATGTGAGCAACTTTAATTAAGCTTTAACCTTTTTATTGGGTGGTTCTGTAGCAGATAATCTGAGCTCTTTCCGTCTGAGATAATCTTGAACATTTTCAAACTTCCTCTTGAAAAGAAGATTCACAACATTTTTCTTCTGGTCAGCAGTCATATTTTGTTTATTTATTTCCTCCACAGCTTTAGCCACACATCCGGTCATGTTGTCTTGAAACTTGAACACTTCTAGGTTAAAAACCATGCTTTGCACAAGTACAATGTCATTTAAACTCATAACTAGCCATAAAATATTTGAACTCAACGACAAGCCCCATGGATGGCTGTTTTGAAAAGGTATGTTCTGGATAAAATTGCAACAAAACTTATCATTCTCACTTGAGCACTTGTACACTAAACAAGCATTGAAGTTGTCAACGGTTACACAAATTAGTGAAGTTGAACTATCCAAAGAAGTTGTTGCAGCATCAGTAATGGCTGCGATGTTACTTTCTGATTCCTCTTCTCCTTCACCTTTATCTTGACCAAATATTTGGGAGACATTGCAAACAGTTTCTTCTTTTCCAAGTAAATAATTCCAAAACCTAATTGTGCCATCACCAGAAGTTGAAATCAAATATTTTGAATCATGAGGGAGTAGACGCAAAGCACTTACGAATTCAGAATGGCCCAAGCAAAATGCAACAATATTGTAGCCACTGGGATAGCTGGACACCCTTATTTTCTCGTCCCTGTCACAAGTTATGATGAACTGTTCATCAGGTGTAACTAAAATATCTAACAAAAGAGAAAGGTGGCCCAATATGAGTTGTCCAGAGTTATCATCTGATTGAGGTTGGAACAAGTACACATCACCAGATTTGTCAGCAACAACTAGATGATTGTTGACAGGGGTGAATCTAACTTTGCCTGCACCTCTGATAAGCTTACATACTTTAATAATAGAGGGCTTACTATCTTGTAGGTCAACAACACAAAGAAGTTTCCCCAGAGTGCAGAATGCCATCAGGTGTCCATTAGAAGAAATGTCACAACATGCCAGACCTATCCCTATTTCTTCACTATCACTTGATGCTTTATTATTAGTATGAGTATCATCATTAACTTCAGTTATAATCGTTTCACCGATATCTGAATGTTTAAAAGGAAACAACACTCCATCACTTAATCGAGTAATTACAGTTTTAGTCCCGCAAGATACAGATACTACGTCGGAATTCGCACAAATACTTGCCATTGTCTGATCAAGACATAAATAGTTTACAGCACAATAATTAACTTCCTAGACACACAGACACAATCTAAATAAATATTTAACAAAGTTAGGTTAACACTGACTGACTGTAAATCTCCAACCCTAACCTCAATTCAATTTATAAAAAACGTAAACTTACTACTGACGACTATGAACAACAGACAAAATTTAGCTTCCCCACCATAGCATAGCGTGCTGTATGAAAAAAGCATAGAGTGTCTACCCACTGATCCATAACTATGCACAGTACTATAACAACATTATGCTCGAGATGGATCTCTATGGGTAGAATTTTCATGGCATCTGTTTCGTAAATTTACAGACACAGTTTTTAATCTTTTTCATATTTGAAAAATTTCAAAAGGACCAGGATATAATACAATTGGTTTTATAAATGTAGGCGAACTTATGCTTATATGCGCCATCTTGGCAATCCATACATTTATTTGACTGTAATATATGATGTAACCTATTGCATATTGCATGCAATAGTGAAAGTCAAACCACTCAAAGCACAGAAAACATAGTAGTATGTTTTCTGTGGTCAAAGTCAGAATAACAATGGTAGAATTAAAGGTAAGACGGCCGTGATATAGCCCAAACAATAACGATGATTTTTTGTTGGTTTGTTGTGCCACAAAAGAAGAAAAGCCATTTTTACTCCGTTCAAAGTTCTTATTTTTTCGAATTTAGTTAAAAATACACTACCAACCGTCCAGTCAACTTATTAATGACGCTGCAAAGAATTTAAAACCACACGAAATAAAATTCAAAGATCACCCTCAAGAAAGAAAATCGAAGCAATCTTCCTCTTTGACAAAAACTTACGAAGCAACCAACAAATAGAAGTTAGAAGTGGTTGCTATTTGAGTTCTAGTTCTAAAATGGATTCATTCCGGTATGTTTTTTCCTTCGTGATGGCATTATTAAATGTTATTCTTAGGTTGTCGGTTACTCATCACTAAAATAAATTAATCACAATTTACTAAAAAATGTCGAGGTATATTTCAAGTTTACATCAAAACTCATCTTCATTCTTTTTAGTGATGAGTAACCGACAACCTAAGAATAACATTCTAAAATGGAGTAATTGTGAAGTTACATATACTATACTTCGAACACCAGCCTAAAAGCAGATTTGAAAAAGTTTCTAAAATGCAGATAGCATAGGAGCATTATAATCAATGATAGCAGACAGATCACAGAACCAGAAGCAGACTGCGAGCAGACTAAATAAAAGGTGAAAGGAAAAGTCATAACATGTATATTGTATTGTATACGTACAGTGTCCTAACCTAACACAAACGAAAATAAAAGTTAACATTTTTATTTTACTAATTAAATCTTTGCTGGTGGTAGTATCGCAGTACAATGATTTTTCAAATATTTAATAATATAAATGAGAACTATTTCTGAAATATTTAAGGTAGGATATTTTGAAGATTGTACGTTTATGAATAAGATAAATAAATGAACTCTAACCTATGTCGTTAACCTGAACTACTTAAGATTTTCTATGAAGGATGTTTTGGTGATCAAAACCAATTTATTAATTGATCAACACACATAACATCAAATTTATTAAAATAGCATAAGATCGGATAAAAGTATAAGTTACAGTTAGTAGGCCCCTAACTTAAATGCAAATCGGGCAAGATTTGTCATCGGGTAAGATGGTTCTTTTTGTGAAATTTCCCCAAGTTTAGCTAATGTAATCCTAGAAAATTGCATACTTTTGATTATCTGTCCCTTATCATTCTTTTTGTTTAAAGGAAAAGGGGACGTCTGAACATTTATACATTGTTGGAACCTAGGCCTAGCATAATTTTTAGTGTGACGAGGTAAGTTAATGACGTTACATAAACAGGGTACACTTCCATATCTGTTGGCACAAACAACCGAATGAAAATATCGATCGATAACCAAACGATATATCGAATTAAACAATTGAATAATCAATATTACTCATTTGGTTGTTTGTGCCAACAGATATGGAAGTGTACCCCATAAACACTTCACCTGTAAATTTTAAGGTGTAAGACAACAGAGTCAAAATTTTTCAAACGACCTAACTTGCATTTATTTATTATCCTTGTCAATAAGTCATTTATTGAGCCAAACTGACAATACTTGCATTAGCCAAGCCAATACAAAAAAAAAAAAATAATAATAATAATTTAGTAGGCTAGGCTACATCTTAATAAAAAAAAAATTCCTTACTGAAAAAAACTATATAGGCTAACTAAATAACTAAACATGGTCATTGACTTAGTGAATGACCACTAAAGTAGGTATTCACGGACGCTGTAAAATGATATGTCTAACAACATGGACTTTAGGCCTTTTCTAAACTTTTTTGGATCTTGTTCGGCCTTCAGTTGAGGTGGAAGCCTATTAAATAGTTTTATGGAATTGCAATGAAAGTTTCTTTGAAAGAAAGAAGTGGAATGCCGGGGAATTGGTGGTAGATTTAAGTATTGCGCGATGGATACCTGGAATTTTTTTCAGATGAGAAAAAGGAAGGTTGTGTATTGAAGAATAAATCTAGTTTCAAATGTGTTCTCTGAATTGTCCCACTAAAGTTCGTCCGCTTAGAGAGCGACCTCCTCTAGCATTGGTTAGCATTAGCGCGCAGGTCGCTTTCTAAGCGGCTGAACTATAGCAACATCTAAGATATGTATAAAGCTAAAGCATCTCAAACGTTTGAGAAAACTGTTAACTGCACTTGAATGAAGTTCTTCGAATGTGAAACTTCCCACACAAACCTGAATTTAAATGGCCATATTCATTCACATTTAAAATGCAGATTTGTTTTATAGTTTGTTTAACTTTTTCTGAGTATGTTTACATTACAATAAATTTATTGATTCTGTCATAAAAATTGTAATGCAAATAAGTTACACAAGAGATTTTCATTGTAATAAGCAATAAGTACAATTTAGATTTGCCTATAGCCTACATTTGCATGGGGTGTGTAACAGTATTTTACAGTAGGCCTAGGTTTAAATACCGTACCTTATAAATCCGACATACAGCTTAATTTTATAGAAGGTCGTTTACATGTTTCGGTTTGTATCCGCCATTGTCAAAACATCACAGTTGGATGGCATGTGTGTATACACATCGCTTATGTGTGTATGTGTATGTACTTTTAGTAGCAAACAATGAAAAAGATTTCACCATCCAACTGCGATGTTTTGACAATGGCGGATACAAGCAGAAACATGTAAACGACCTTCTATAAAATTAAGCTGTATGTCGGATATATAAGGTACTAACTGGCCCGACAGAAGTCGTCCTGTCCCAATGTGGTTTTATGTCAAATGCTTGTTCATTTTCAAGATCCTGGTTGAAGTTCGTTCGCTACGCTCACTCACCTTTAGGTTGGAGCTCGTTCGCTGCGCTCACTTGCCTTCAGGTTAGCTCGTTCGCTACGCTAACTCGCCTCCAGGTTGAAGTTTGTTCGCTACGCTCACTCACCTTTTGGTTGCAAATTAGCTGTTGTCATAAATAAAAAAAAAAAAAATAATAATCGTGCTGCACCCTGTTGGTAAACTTATTAACTTTTTAATGCTATTGAACATCACAGAATCAAATTGCTTAGTTGTTCCAGCTGTTAAGATTCTTTAATTCCATTTAAATAAGAGTACTCATAAGGTTAACATGGGAAACCCCAGAGCCACTGGGGCGGAGCCCTTTTGACGGATCTGCACCAAACTTCACACAAACCATCCTTGAATAATGCCTAATAATGCCTGAAAGTGTCATTACAATTAATCTGTCTAGCGGTTTCGGAGTCCATAAAGGACAAACAAACATACATTGGATTTTATATAAAATATATAGATGTAAACCTATTTATCATATTGAATATAACAGCTCAGGAGCTAGAATGGAAATTAATTTTATTTTATACAGTAGATTTAGACAACCATTAATATTCTCTTAAATATTTTTGCCCCATTGTAAAGTACGGGCAGAATTATGATGAGAATGCAATTTTATAAACTGTCCTTATTTGTTTCAGCTATGGGTGTCAGAGGACTTACAACATACATTAAAACCAATGAAAAGAAGTTTTTAAAACTCCACAAGCTACACAATTGCACTATTTTGTTGGATGGAAATAGCATTGCTGCTAATTTATTCATTTGGAGCAGCATTGAGTCTGCCTTTGGTGGAGACTACGACAAGTTTGCTAAATATGTCAAAGAGTTCTTTAAACTTCTACAGAAGTGCAAGATAAAACCTTTTGTGTTGTTTGACGGAGGTTATGAACAAAGAAAATTAAAGACTGTATACTCTCGATTAAGAGAAAAGTTTAGAACAGCATGCCAAGCACAACCATTTACTGGTTCCTTGAACTTCCCTCTGTTCATGAGAATTGTTTTCCGAGAAGTAATGGTTGAATTGAATATCCCATTTGCACAAAGTGATTTTGAAGCAGACGATGAATTAGCTGCTTTGGCCAGGCAACTGAAATGTCCTGTCCTGAGTTACGATTCTGACTTCTACATTTATGATATCCTCTACATTCCTCTACCCTCACTTAATCTTATTCCTGTAGAATTCAACAAAAGTGACTGTCAAGATGTTGGACCAAAATATTACCTAGAATGCAAAATATATAGTGTTGATGTGTTTATTGAAAGTTTTGGTGGGCTTGATAGAAATATGCTGCCTCTTTTAGCTGCCCTTCTTGGAAATGATTACATCAAGCGTTCGGTTTTCAAAAAGTTCTATACCAACCTGAAAATTCCCAAGGGCAAAACAAACCATCTCCAAAGAAGGATTAAAGCGGTGATTGAATGGTTGAGACATGAAACATTCGAAACTGCCGTACACAAGGTAAAGGAAAATACAAACTGAAAACATTTTATCACCTAAATGGTTTTTATCTATATCATTTTTGCCTGACTGTCTTTCTGGGCAGCCCAGATATTAGCTTATAAGTTTTTACGTAGGATATCCACTTGACGATTACCTTGAGTCATGACTATAGTTCTGGACAGTGGTATCAGATCAAATGTTACTGTAAGCTGGGTGTTGTTCATTAGTGTGGTGGTCGGCCATTTGTTACTGCTGCTGGACTGAGTTCAAATTAAATGGGACTAGGAGCCCCTAACAAGTAATTTTCTTTAACACCTTACCTTTGCTGTGGTTGCGGATGGCCAGCCGCTGCAGGGAATGGGAGCAGCGGAGCAGCCAATGGCTTAGGACATGGACCAAACCATTGGTTCCACAAATAGCTTGACCACAACTCTATAGCTCTTCCGGCTGAAGTAAACAAACAGAATCATCAATGCCAAATAGGTAGCCTACCTAATAAATCCTAGAATGTCTTGCTCCACTCCATGTGTTTGAGCCGTGCTATACACTATATCTTTTTAGAAGTACTTTGGGATCACAATTTTAAAAACTTGCATGGTTTTACCAAATAACAATTCAATAAAAAAATATTCCTGAAAATGATGAAATGAAACGTATCAAAAACATTAAACTTAATAGTTAAATAAGTTTCTTTATTAATTTGTCAAAACATCCTGGGTTAGGATTGTCAGAAGATACATTTTGTATCCTCTCGATTGAACTTCGATCAAAGAACATTTTGTTAAATAAAATGCACAATTCAATGGATTGCAGATTGTCTGTGACAACCTGGAATGCATGTTTTCTTAAGATAATCTCAACTTTAACATTATTAAGCATAATAAACATTCTCTATCTCTGTCTACTTTTTAAACTATCTGCTAATATAGACAAAGATACATTCAGAATTAGGCTACTGTATATTTAAAGTGATGTTTCTGAAAACTGTGGTTATATTAATAAAAATTAAAAATCAATTCTTTACAGATACTGTGCCGTATGAGGAAAAACCACAGAAGATTTGTCAAAAGGCAACTAAAGAGAATTGTCCAGGGTTATGTTCAGTGTGAGAGCATATTAAGCGAATATCTGGGACTAGAACTTTACACAAAGAGCACAGAAAGTTTCAGTGTGTTGCCAAACTCAAGTCTCAGTAAAGTTGATTCGTCAATGGTCAACATTATAGAGCGTATAAATGTGGACTCCATAGAGGAAGAAACTCTGGCTGATGTGGACAATAATGATGTATCCTCGTCAAGCGAAGAAGATTCCTGTGAAGAATCTGATGCAGACGATAGTCCCGAAGGTGATTACAACACAGCCAACCTTATCAAAAACGACAGTGTAAATGAAGTCTGTAGCTCAGTAACAATTTGCAATGGCAACAATACCAATGTTCCATATTGGTTACTCGATTTTGCAAGAAAAGGGAAAATCCAGTCTTGTGTTTTTGATATTTTGACTCTGCAGCAATATTTTTTCCTACCTCAAGTTGAGGACTTTACTCTTCCTCCTTCTCACCTTATCAGCTTGAAACTTCTGAATGCGATTGTAGGGCTGTTACAAGGAGAAAATGGAAATCTAGTCAAGTATTGGACAAGAAATGGTTCTCAGTTGTGTTCATACAACTTGGAGCCTATTACTGCAACTCCCACTTCACAGTTTCCTCAGTGTGAAAGAATCCCTGATATAAGTCAGGACATTCGCAAAGCGTTGATCTTGGAAGTTGCAGAAGCTGATTTAGATTTAACCTCAGTACCTGAAGATTGGCATTTGTTTCTTATTGCCCTTGTGTTTTGGTTAAAAAACATGAAACAGCCTGCACCATCGGAAGCTTACTTGCATACCATGGTCATGTGTTTGGTAGGAATTTATACGGTAGATAGTTCCATCGGAGTGTATAGAAATAGGCAGACGTTCATGCGCAAGTACAGAAACTTTTTGAATAAAGTTGTTGAAGCGAGAAGTAGAGAGAAACAAAAATTGAAAGATAGTAATGAGGAGAGTGAAATAGAAAACGAGATTGAAAGTTCAGATCTTAGCAATCAGTTGAAGAGCGTTTCTAGCGAAGACTGTGTTTTAATAATTGAAACTATTCTGCCTTATCATCATGTTAGTGAACAAGTTAAAATGAAACCAAAACTGTTTTGTTTATCAACAGTTCATGCCTTCGCTCAATTTCAAAGTAGTTTGCTTCACCTGATGATTTTAAATTCTATACTGGGATATCCTTTGAAAGATAGTTTTGTATCAAAACTATTTTCTGGGACTTTTGTCTACAATGTCTTCCAAAATTTTTCCAAACGCAACAACATTGGGTTGTATGTAGAGACACTACTCAGAACTTCTCCTTCTCTACTTAAACTGTACAAGAGTTTAGTTTGTTATCTACAAAAATACTTGAACAGTGTTGCTCTTATTGAAAATCCCACTAAAAGTCGTAGGAAAAAGAAGAAAGACAACAAAAGACTAAAATTAGAACAATCTCACGAAAGACGACCAGAAGAGGAAGAAAGCAGTGAAATGTTTATTGACGACAACAACAGATTTTCAGGACTCTGTCTTGAGGAAACATAATTTGTTAAGGCTACCTATTCATAGCCTGCAAGAAAACATAATTTATATTTTACTCAATAAGATAAGTCCCTGTCTTGCATTTTAATACAAAGATGTCTACATCTTTTTATATCAAGTAAAACATATGTACTTATGAGGCTAGTTTTAAAATATAACAACTCAAAAATGAATTAATAGGAAAAAATTTACAGTAATTCTGAAACCATCATAATCATTAATTAATTAACTATTAAACCATTATACTGTACCTACAACATTTGTATTATACCAAGGCCACACTAAAAAACACGCCGTAATGCTCCTCAAGCATGACGTCACGATAGAAGACGGCAATGACGTAATGTTTGCCGTTTTTGATCAGCTGCTTGTTTTAATCTTTGCTTGGAAAATAAATAAATACCTCATTGCCGCCTTCTATCGTGACGTCACGCTTGACGAGCATTACGGCCTGTTATTTTTAGTGTGGCCTTGATTATACCCATATAAAGTGATGTAGCAATAGAATTAAATATTTATTTAATCTTATATTGTTATGATTAATTTTTGAAATAAATAAATACTTTCTGTATAGAATTTTGTTAAAAAAGCTACCTTATAAATTAGTACAGTTGTAGTGATTTAGAATATTTCTCATCAAATAGTAGTATCTTGTAATACAGTAATATCACTCGATGATTAATGAAAAATCAAATTTTTTCCCTAGGACGCTAGGCACGTGCCCGAGATTGTTTTTCACATTACTTAAGGCTAGACCTAGGGGTTGCGGCATTATCACTTAGATAAAATCCATTTGTGACTTGGCGGGATTTGAACCCGGGACCTCAGGGACTGAAGTTCCGCGCTATAACCACTACACCAGCTTGTTCCCCCCAAAAAATCACATGGTGGTAAACTAAATAAACCTTACAAAATATTGAATGGATTTATTTTTTTACAAAATACAAATATACAAACACATATTTACAATGATGTTTAGGATTTGGAGCATGAGAAATACAAGTCATAGAGTTAAAATGATCTTTGGCTGTTCATTCACTTGAAAAGGAATGTTGATGGTTTATCCAATTTGTCACAGGCTGAAACATATTCCAGGAACTGTGTGCTGGGTAATTTCTGTAAAGGTTCGGTAAAATAGCTTTTAATTGTTTTTTTCTCCTAATACAGCACTAAGGAAAAACTTGAAATCGTAAGTGTATTCAACTTGTTTTGTAAAATCTATTCTATAGTCTAGAGTAGAAAAAAATATAATCCGACCTTTCCTTGCCATGAGCAGTGAGTAGAGATTCCCTTGAATGGTAGGATAGGTGGACAGTAAATCTGCCAAGCCACAAATTGATAAACCAAAATCCAATACATTTTGAGGGATTTGATTCAAGTCAACAAATATGGTGGTTAGGTTCATGAACACTTGTGTATCCGCCAATGGCCTCCACATCTACAGCTCCTCGCCCAGCGCAGATCCCACGCTCTGATGGCAGCTGTCCTGGGACAACTCTGGACCTGGGCCTTACCTCCACACCTGAAAATACACAATTTACCTCAAAATAGGTACAGCAAACCAGGTTTTCTGGTTGTTTTGGACCAGAGACTTTTTGGACAAAAAAAGCCACGGCCATAGAACAACATGCAGTTGTGAAGCAATACAAATGTAAGAAATTTTTTTCTGCTGCATAATTGATCTCAAAATACAACAAAAAGATTTTCCTGTATGTTTGGATCAGAAGATTTTATGACCAAAAAGCCACTGCAAAAGAACAAGTCACATAGCGCAAATAAAAACCTAAAAGTTTAAATTGGGCTTATGTGGATGAAAATCAGCACCATGCAATTATAATAGCTATTTACATTACAAGTGTAGTAAGAGCGTTTTTACTTCACGCAGGTGAATGTTGTGCAACGAGCGGAAGCGAGTTGCATAATTCACCTAAGTGATGTAAACAGCACGCTCTTGCGTAACGTGTAACGTACAAGATTTTACCTGACCCGACAATAAACATGGGTTTACGTACAATATTTTTCATTATCCATTTCACTCATCTTCTATCAGTAACGTTCTTTTACTAACAAAAGCTAGGTTAGGTAGGAAAATACTTTAAAGCATAATAATAACATTCAAGCGCACAGCCGATTTCTAGCGTTGAACATCGTTGGCTCCATAGAGTTATATTTTTTAAGTTAAGCACTCAATGTTATTTAAATGGGTTTCTTTACATCACCGAGTGAGTTTTTGATACTTTACATCACTCGAGAAGTAAGGAAGTTGTATACATCACGCTTGGGATAGGGAAGTTTAACATGGCGGGTTAGGTAAAAGCTATTTAACAGTTTTTAGTAAACTAGACATTCCATCCCCCATGTTAAAGTTGTAGCCAGGTTTTTTATCAAATTTGTCTTAGTTGATGTGAGCCACCTACAGATTGCTCTGATCTAAATTACTGATTTCTGCTGATTACACAATGGTTTTTACCAAGTCAAACTGATGGAATGACTTATTATGAGCTATAGCAACTGTTGTGACCCAGCAACTATGTCAGTAACAAAAAATAAGGTACAAAATAGTTTTAGACACTAGCGCAATCTGTGACTGTCTCATACAACTACGTTCTTCTTTAGTAAAAATTTGGCGACAGCTGATCCATATAGATGGGATGTCTTGGTAAAATACTCAAGGTGCCTTAAAAATTTAACTGGGTACATAAATGAATCCAGTCAACTTATATTGTGTATGTTTAATTTTTTACCCCTATTTATAGTGTATTATGGAAATGTATTGTTTTCGTCAACTTTTTTGAGTTTGAGTTTTGGGTGGATATCATTTGATCTGAAGATTCTAAGGACATACCCTGGGCAGCTTGATCAACAGATTTGTCAATCTGTTGTATCTTCTCAAGAGTATTCAATTCAAAATCATAGGTTACTCACCGACAGCACTGTTTAACGACCAGTGGCTGATGTCCCAGGTAGATGTGTCGGATTGTGTCCACTATCTGGTCTGTAGCCATGGCTCCTTCCACAGGGCTCAGGTCAGGCACGTACAGCAGGCAATCAGGCTCTACACCAAACTCCAACTGGGGAAATATACATACAATCACATTTAACATTAAAGTAATAATCATTATTATTATGAGTTAGCTGAAGAAAAGTAATTAAGTTCAAGTTTTATCACTATAGAACAAGTTCGCAAACCAGCATGATGATACTATGGGGTGAAATGAAATGATTTGTTTCCATTTTTGACCCACAAAACATAGTTTTGCAATTTTGTCCAATCCATTTTGATGAGTTTGAGAATAGAAACAATTAATTATATTGAAGCATTGTTATACGCTCAATGGTGACAGCAAAACTCTGAAAAACTAATTAAAAAATGTCCATGTTATTTTCATAAAGAAACTTGGCAACTTTATTTCATACTACGCTATGAAACCTTTTAGTTTAATTAAAAACAAGCTTTACTACCTTCCCTGTAGTAGCAAACCTAAGTACTCATCAAATCTAATGTTTTTAAAATGGGGAATAAATCTAGCATTTTTAATAAATATTTTAGTAAGAAGAATCCAATTGCTTAGTCTGCGCGTTTGCTGTATCAGGGGGTTCTTTTGCTTATAGAGTAGTTTCTGTTTTACAAGGATTTTTACAGAAGGTTGAAGTGTTATGTACCTTGAGTGGTTGAGACAGATAGAAGAGTGCAGGTGAGGTGATGGCGATGATAGGTGTGGCTGTGTTGAGCGGAGGAATCATCACTTGGTTGGGCAGTAGAATACAGTCATCTACAAACAACAAATCCCTTACAAATATTGCTCTTTGGTACCATACTAGGGACGGGAAATACATTTGCTTTGCATTAATAGTAAGGAACGTTAATTAGCTTTTCGGTAATAGTTGAAACAATACTATTAATTTCATCACCAATTATAATGGTACTATCACAAATTATAATGTTGTTTTAACCCTGGGTTATTTTTACTGCCTATTATTTTGCTAATAGGCCTAGTTCCTCAGACATAGGAATAATTTTCAATGAGTTGTTTTTGTTTGGCCTCCAGACATTCCTCAGACAGGTAATTACTACTTAAATATGTTCGGTGTTAATAGGAAGACATCTTTAGCGTTATTTTACTCGCAATTAATTGCTAACAGTCCAGACAACGTAAACAAAATTCATATGATATTCTCACTTATCTATTACCAAGATACCATTATTTTATGATGTACTGTATGTGTAAATTATTTTGATGTTTTTGACTTAAAGCTCCGACGATGTTGTATTTGCAACGAAACATCTCAGCTTTGAACAAAATTATTTAAAGTTAGACGCAATTTAGGACTACTGACGGAGGTAAGCCTATAAAGCCGTCTACATACTAACTTTACATCTGAAGTACGAGTATTTACCATTAAATCACCATGAGCAATAAATGGAAGACATTTCAGACCTGACGGAAAAGGAATTTAACCAAGCGTTCATTCTAAAAACTAGTTCTGAAGAACAAAAAAACTATCCTGAACAACTACCTGGGTATAGTACCTAACATTTTATGCCATAAACTATACATACCTTGTGAACCGAGATTGTGAACTACCCAACGACCAAATGCATCAAAACTTCAAAATGTATTTATTTCTTGGTATTCAATGTTGGATTGTGAGGTGAAAGATAGTTTCTTCACTAACACTCCGTTTGTTTTCACAATATTCTATGTCTACAGATTTCTCTACTCCATGGTACATCTAGTGTCAAGATCTGCGAAGTCAATGAAAAAATTTTCTCTATTTTGACACCATACATATTGTCAGTCTGTTTAAGTTGCACACTCAAACCCAGCTTGTGATAACTGCCATGAGTCTTTTTCCTGTTTGTAAATAGTTTTTTTTTTATATTTTGAATAGTAACTATAGTTTATTTATTATTTTGCATACTTGTGTAACATAATTAAAATTTTCTGATAGTGAAACTCCACTTTTTCAGCATGGACAGTTAATAGCCTATGAGAGAAGTGTTTCTCGATACAACCAAGTTTTTTATTGTTTTGTTACCAAACTTTTTTTATATCATGGACAACTATTTATGAGATAAAGATCCTTATGATTTGATTTCCATACTAAAAATTGACTGTAGGGGACTATCATGATTATGAAAAGATTGTTGACAACACAAAGTAAGCAAATGCTCTAAAAACAGATTGTCTACAATACATTATAATATTGGAAAAACAGTGAGTTAAGTATTATTTGCTCTGTTCAGTGTTCACACACAAGCTCTACCATTAAAATTGTTAATAACATTACATCAGCTTGATGAAAAAAATCTTCATTTTATTGTAGGTATTTCAACTAAAAACCTTAAAAGACAAATTAAAAAAAACTCACATAAAAAAAACAAACAGTATGTTACAGCATAGTAAAAAAAGTAGTACAAGATATAAAGTAATTACCCTAAGATTTATTTGAAAAAAGCAAAAATACTTCTGACACAAAAGTCTGGGACATAGGAGCGCTTGCAACAAAAAACTCATTAGCCCCTGTGCTAGGAATATCAATAAACACGTCATCATTTT